ACCGATAGTTCTCCTTATCGACTATCGATATATGTATATCGATTCTATGGGCTCTTTCAATCGATAAATGCTCGAAATTTCACCACTCGAATGGCATCCCGTGCCCATTGCCCGCTTCCCGCTTCCCGATTCCCCACCATTTCTCCATTGCCAATGTTTTGCATTGTCTGTCCCCCTCCTTTCCCCCCTTCAGCCTTGCTTTCTCGCTCTCTTTATCTCTACTGCTGTTTGCTTTGCTCCCAGAAATGGGCGTAGTCGCTTGGTGGCGTGGCAGTGGGGCACTGACAGGGGGCAGGGCCCAGGGCCCAGGGGCCAGCGGCTTTTGGGTCCTGTTCGATGCTTGCCGGGCGAAACACTTTCAAGTGTTCATCATTTTCCGCTGCTAATGGCGCTCATTTATTTTATTGACAGCCGTTTCCGTACATTTTCCTCACTTTTTTGTGGCTCTGCCTCGCTCTGTCCGCCCCTTGCCTCGCCCTTGCTGCCTCTCTGTTTGGCTATCTCTCGCTTTTTGTGGCATCCAAATGGTTGCAAATGGAGCAAAGGACTTTTCCCATGGCGTAAAGTGTGCAAATTAGTTGATTTTTATGAGTGGAGCGGCGAACCCGCGACCTGCGACACCTGAAACGAATGCGAATGCGAATGCGATTCAGAGGGAGAGGGAGAGGGACAGGGAGAGAGCACTGATGCGTAGATGCGTAGTGGTAGATACTCGGGCAAATAGTAATACCGATGCGATGCGATGCGATGCCATCCAATAAATACGAAGCAATTTGCATGCGGCGGCTGCTTACTGGGCCATAATTAATTTCCCTTAATTTCTTTTCGCTGCTGTTGCTTTTGCAGACTCACTCGAAGGCTGCCTGAGTAATTGATAATATTGAATGCTGCCGGACGCACAGCCTCTGCCAGGACACTGCCGCCTGTACACTGAAATCCATTAGTGAGTATAAATTAATCCTTGTATAAATCATTAACAAAAACAACAACAGCAAGAGGGAAACGGGAGGGGAAACGGGAGGGGAATGGGGAAACGGGAAAAAGAAATCTGAAATCTGAAATCTGGGCCAAGCGTCGAGCAATGCACTGGCCAGGGCAAAGCAAAAGGATCTCCTCCCCGTATCTGTATCTGTATCTGTATCTGTATCTGTATCTGTGTGTGCGTGCAGGTATCCGGCCTGCACTTTTTGTGTGCGTAAGTTTTAATTGAAGGCTTTTACATTTGGCTTTGCGGCGATAATAATTAATAATTGAAGGCGCTATCGTTGCCACTCTGTAGAAATGCCTGCCTGCCTGCCCGCCTGCCCGCCTGCCTGTTGCCACTCCCACAGGGGCGTGGCGGGGGGGACACAAAGTCTGCGGCCTAACCACACGAGACTCCACCCCCATCCCCACCCCCATCCCCACTCGCAGCATATTTCCATCTCTCTTACGACTTAACCGCAAGGAAAACTGAATGGCTTTCACTCGCCACTCCCCGCCCGCTTTCACACGCTCGTCTGGGGAGTGGGGGGGAGGAGCCAGGGTTCCAGGGCCCCTCTCGAGGCTCCTTCGAGTGCCTACAAGGCCACAAGTCCACGATCAATCCACCACGTTCCCGCGAGCATGTCTGATCGTCGTGGCACCTCGGAGGCACCTCCCCAGCCCGGTCGCAGCTCAACTTTGGGAAATTTCTTTGTGCAAAACTTTGGGCACTCCGCAGCCCAAAAGCTAACAAGTTCTGCCCCCCCCCTCCCCCCCTTTCCCTCTGTTTTCCCTGGGGAGGATTTTCCTTTGTGACTCTCTCGCTCTCCGGCTCTGATGCTTGGATTTTTCGGGGCTTTTTGCGGGTTTTGTAATATTATAATTTACGACTTTTTGACAAATTATCGGCATAAAGGAACATAAATAAAACGTGTTTGCCAAACGTCGACAATCAGCGTAAATTTCAATAAATTAATCATTTCGAGACAGCCACAAATTGTTGGGGGATTGGGAGGGGGGGGAGGGGGGGGGGGCACGCTGTGTGGGGCAAGCAACAGGCGATTGGAGCAGGCGATTCAATTACAGAACCGAAGGCAAAATTTCATCAATTCATAATTCAGTGATGGACCGTGCCACAAATCGATGCCTGCCACAAGTCCGCATCAATTTCCGTTCCGAGGCGCCTTCGCGGTCGGCTGCTAATTATTTGACGATTTCTATGGGGTGGCTCCTCCAGTGGCTCCATTTTCCCGTGCAATCTCCGGCCAATCTTTGACCGCATCCAACGATGCCAGAAACGCGAGCATCAAAACAGTTTTTTCCCCCCTCCCCTTTTTGGCAGCCGAAAAGTGCAACCAAATTGAAAGCAAAGCCAAGCCATCAGCCGACATGTAATTGCTGCCACAGAAGGGGACACAAGGGGGCACAAGGGGACGAGGGGACATGTGCTAGGTAAACCTCATTTGTGGGGCTGTGCCATATATTATGTCAGAGGCGTCAGATAAGCGCCTCCCAGACGATGGGGCACGAAAGATTCGCCGGCGAATTTAAATCTGTGGCCCAAAATGGTGGCCTCCCAGCCCCCGACTGGGGTATACCCTTGCAGAAATCACTCCAGAGAGGAGAGGAGGGAACATATCTAGTCCATTCACTGCATGTTTCCCTCCTGTCAAGGGGCCCGGCATGCCATTAGTTGCAATTAAATCGTTTCTTCTTAATTTATAAAACTCTTTTGATGCGTACCTCCCCGTTTCCCCGTTTCCCCGTTTCCCCATTTCTCCATTTCATTTCATAAGTCTCACAATTTCGTACATTTCGTTCAATCATTTTCCAGGATTCTGCAGCAGCAGAGGCATCAGCAGACGCCACTCGTTGCTCAAATATTCATTGCATTCGAAGGAGTTTGTCCGTCTCCTGTTCTGTTCTGTTCTGTTCTGTTCCTCGCACTTGAAAAGTACTCAATTTTTGGCATGCCATGCCCCCCACCCCCTCCCTTCGACTTGCTCCACTGTCTCATTTTCTCTGGGCATCTCTTTTTGCCTCTAAACCTCCGTTGATACCGTTTTTAAAAGGTTTTTTTTATTCGATTACCTTGATACAAAATAATAATATAACAAAACTCCAGGAAAATACTATAAAAACACCATGTAAATACCATAAACAGTAACAAAATACACGAAATAATATCAGAAAAAAATACTAGACAAATACCATTAAAATTCCAGAATATACTAACAAAATACTAGAAATAGTAATAAAAGAATAACTGTAAATTGCAAAAACGAATATTTTGGAAAAATTATATAATACCAGAAAAATACTAGAAACTAGACCAACAGCCAAAGTTAAGCAAATAAAAGGAAAATATTATGAATATACCAGAACTTACTCAAAAAATACCATTAAAATATTAGGATATACGTAGAAAATATTAGGAAAATAATACAGGAATATTTGAAAATTATAAAAACGAAAAATTCGTTAAAATAACATGTAATATACCAGAAAAATACTAAAAAACAATGTATTAAAGTACCAAAAAAAAAGCTAAACAAATAACACAAAAATGGTATGCATATACCAGAAAATACTAGAAAAATACGATTTAAACGACAGGAAATACCAAAAAATACAAGGTACAAAATAGTACATAATAGTAAATAGTTGCTATATGCAATAAATACCAGAAAAATACTGCAAATAAAAAGTGGCTCTGATTATCGTACATTCTCGTATAGCCATTACTGGAGTGTTCTTCCCACTCGTTCCTGAGGGGTCTTGCCTTTTCCTTGGAGCTCCAGAGATCCGATAAAAGTCGAAGAAAATTCTTAGAATGGGAGTTTTAAGCGCTGCGGCCTTACAACAAGCCAGTCATCTTTCGGTTGAGGTCTGTCTGATCAGAAGTACGATCAGAAATAGTTCTATATTCTGCGATTACAGGGTATCGGCAGGTTCGCTTCTCCTTGCCTCTCCTTTTGTTTGGCGTACGCTTCTGCCAATGTTTTGCTTTTGTTTTCGGCTTCATTACATTGAAGCTTTGTTTTGCTTGGTGTTTTTTTATTTTTTATTTTGTTTTGTTTTCGGCATTCCATTTCCTTCAGTTGGTTTTTATTGTCTCTGTCTCTGTCTCTGTCTCAGGCCCCCTCTCCCTCTCCCTTTCCCTCTCCCCCTGTCTTTGTGTGTTTGTTCTTTTTGCTTGTTTGTGGAAATTAAGCTTTGAAAAATGACTAGCTTGCTGGCTCACAGATACACTGGAGCTGGAGCTGGAGCTGACACACACACACACACACACACACACACAGATGCAGTGCTGCACACATAAGTATTTGGAAAATTACTTTCATTTGTGTATGCGCTTCGTTTGGCTCGTTACTGTCGAAGGAGTTGCAGCAGTGGCAGTGGCAGTGGCAGTTGCTTTGGTCCTGCCGCTCTTTGCTCTCTCTCTCTCTCTCTCTCTTTCTGTGCCGTCTCCTGTGTCCTGTCTCCTGCTTCCTGTCTTGTTTTTGTGGCTTGCAGAGAAAGCATTTTCATTTATATTTAGTTCTTTCGCCTTTCGTCTGCTGCCAGCCACTTCCTTGGGGCCATTATCAAGGACCCTCCCCCGCCCCCTCCCCCTCCCCCAGCTCCTGCTCCGCTTTCTCTGCTTTCTCCGCTGTGTGTTGCATTTGTAAATTACAAAAATGAAATTAAGTTCACACTTTGTCATGTGGGGACATTTACGGTTTTTAATTGTTTGTGCGGACTGTACGGGCTGCCGGAATGTTGCCTGCATTTCGGTGGGTGGGTGGTGGGGGGGAGGAGCTTGCTCCTTAAATGAGTAATGAATGCCTCTTGTTCGTGCTCGTGCCCGGGCTCGTGTTCCCATCATTTCTCGAGTTCTCTTATGTACATTAATAATTTCGTTAAATATTTGCCCTCTTCCTCTACACTCTTACATTCGTGTGTGTGTGTGTGTGTGTGTGTGTGTGTGTGTGTGTGTGTGTGTGCTTTTCTAATTAGAAATTATTCTTGGTATTATCTGAAGGACCCATCCTCACGTCCCCTCGAAACTTGAAACTCTTCTCTTCACTGCCTTGCATACACGTATCCTTTGTGTCCTGGGCATGTCCTTTGGGGTATGGCCGGCATGCAAATTATCGTGATTACCGTCTGGCAATCGCATGTCCTCTCCCTCTCCCTCTCCCTCTGCTCAGCTCCGCTCTGCTTATAATTTTTTTTTGGAATCCGAGTACCAGTCCCACGAAATGGATTGTGCGGCGGGGCTCCCTGGCTCTCTCCAACAGGTTTGATGGTGATTTTCTTGCATTGTTTTTCCATGTCTCAATTGGTATAGGTATAATCTAAGGGGCTGTTCGAGGGATTGAGTTTTTATTCATTTATTATTACAACACAAATTTGCATATGCGATAGTTATGCCATTGACAGCACTCTTTTCAGTGATGTACGGATCACAGAAAAATATAAGAACACAAAAATACCAGAAAAGGATCCGAAAAACAAAAAAAAAAACCACTGGAAAAATAGCAGAAAAATACTAGAAAAAAACAGAAAAATACTAGAAAAATAGCAGAAAAATACTTGAAAAAGAGATACTAAAATAATACCAACATAAGCCTATAAGAAAAAGGAAAATCTAAAAAATTCAACATGGAGTATTAGAAAAATACCAGAAAGGTATCTGAAACAACAAAAACAATAGACAAAAAAATAATACCAAAAAAATAATAAAAACTACTAAAATAATATGATAGATGCAGAAAAAAATTACGAAACCGGAAAAATACCTGGAAAATATGAATGAATAATACCAAATAGTAAAGATACTGGAATAAACCAAGAAAAATATTACGAAAATACTCCAAAACATAAAAATACCAGAACGATAGACCAGAAAAATACCGTATTTGTATGGGGTCGTAGGAATCGCAGAGGAGTCTTGATTCATTTGAAACCGATTACCTGCTCCGATGAATCCTAATT